AACACAAGCCAAAAGGCAGAAAGTAACCAAAACAAAGCACCACATTTGGGTTGATCTCTGCAGTATACAGAAAAAACTGTCCCTAAACATTCATTCATTGTGTGAGAATGGTGTTAACACAATCTGTGATCATAGTTCTCAGAAACTTGTCAGTGGAACTATAGCTGCATGACAGTATTAAACCACAAAACATATCATGTATAGTTAGGTTCAGCTCCAGTTCACCCTTTTTGTAAACTGGAATAGATCTAATGGTTGAAAGCAAGGCAAACTTTTAGGATGTGTGTTGCATAGTCCTTTATGGATAAATTGTAAATGTATTTATTTATCACCATACCTTAGCTAATTGTAAATATGGTAACTTTATGTGAATTTTGGCACATGCAATCTAACCATAACATGCCTCATTCAAGTACCAGCCTGACATTAAATTAGCATAAACAAAACAACTAAAACGGAGTAGAAAAACATATAAAACAATGTACCAGTCAAGCACATTTTGCACAGACCTTGCAAGTGTCATATGCAAATCGCATGAGGGTACTGGCCTCATATATATGTATGATTACTGAGAATATACTTGTTTATATTTTCACAAACCACTTCAGAATAAGGACTTCATCACAGGAAGATGCCCACAGGACAACCAATACATACTAGCCTACCATTTATTGCTTGCTTGATTTTCCCCATTGTTTAAAATGTCATATTTTTTCTGCATGTCTTAGCCTTTATACTACATACCCGTGCTAAATATTACTACCAACCATTTCCATAATACTTCGTAACATTTCTGAATAGTCACCTAATTTTTCATTCCAGAGGTTGTTAGTCATTAAAATTCATATAACTTTTTTTCTTCAAAGCCAATTTTAAGACATATTTATTTATTCTGTCATCTGAGCACCTTGAAATTGTGACTGCTTATGGCTGCCTTCAGGTTTGCTACTTCTCAGTGAACTTCTGGGGGGTTTCAACACCAAGTCAAAGTATAACTAATCTGCCATCTTAAACATGCACAATGATTTCCACACAAAAATAGTGTTAAGACAAATACAAGTTCATTGTAATTTCTAAAATTAGTTTTTAAGCCTTTACATTTTCATACTGTACTGAAACTAAAAGAAAACGTAACAGCATTTCAAAATCTAAAGTACAGTATGTTTTAGAAAATGGTCTGGTGTAATATAAAATATAAGCACACTGTAGTAAACAGGACAAAAGCATACAAATAGAAAGAAAAATTTATATTTTAAACTATCTAAAAGTATGCTATGTTCTGGATGATATTACTGTAAACTCAAGCATGTGTTAAAATCAGTATTGTGCAAACATTTCAAGACAGTGGACACAGAATTACACTTTGACAACTCATGATACATAAAATTCAACTCACCGTCTGCAAACATAAGAAAGCAGTAAGAAATGAAAAAAAGCAAAAACAAGCAAAATAGACAAAGCATTCATGACAGCATGACATTTTACTAGCACTGGTACTATGGCTACTTTTTAGTAAAATATTAGTCTTGTATATTAAAATTTGTTACACTACAATTATGCTACTTAACTTTTTGATAAACAAATGATGTGGTCTGCATATGAACATCGAAATGAAAGACTGTGACAGCTACATAAGTCACTGACAACACAAACAAAAGTTACATAAATGGCCAGGTGTATTTTTAAAAAGCAAGCTATGTGACTGGCCAAAACTTCAACAGTTTACTTTTTAGTCTATGTTCTTTAAAAAAAAATCTAGTACACTCCATTCTAGGTGGTACATAAAGATATGAGCTAGACACGTATTTTAGCAAGAGCTTACCTTTAAGGGCGATAACTTTGCTGGCAGGGTTCATGATGGCACTATCTGCAGAGATGGGCCGGCGGATGGGATTATTGGGGTCAGCCATATCTATGATGACAACCTGGGCTTGCTCACCCACTTTCTCTCTGATGCAGATGAACTTGTCAGACTCCATGGTCAAAGTGCTAAATCCAATGTTAGCTGGGTTTATTCCCAGGTTCTGGAGCTGAGATAAGAATGCATAATCTGTCTTAGTACCAGCCCACAGCCCATACAATCTTAACAGCAAAAAAACAAACAAATAAAAACAGATAATAGAATAAAGTAGAAGACAGTGTATACCCAGTTTGTGGGGTTCCCTACTAAATGTAGGCATTGAGAATAATAAGCACATGTCATACTGTATGAAGCTGAAATGTATTAAGTTTGAACTTAAAGTTGCAACTCTAATTCGTTCCCATGCCATTATAAAATATGACCCAAGTTATATGTATGAGATAAACTGTCATATTTGACAAAATGTGTGGGTCAAAAGGTCCGTCTGGTAAAGAAAGACGAGTAAATGTTACAGCTGAAGCCCTTACAAAACAAGCTTACATTGTCCTTTCAGCTGTGAAACTTGCCGTGACCCTGCCGACTGTATATCGTGAACGGCACAGAATCCAGCCAGACTGCAGCCGAACGCGGTTTTAGTTACTAGTTTTTGGTGGCTACTCACTTGACACATCATCATCAGTGTGGTGTGATAAAATGACTGTCAATACAGCCATCCTATCCATAGTCTCTGCTCTTAAAACCAGGTCCATCTAATATCTTACATGGCCAAGATTAGCTGTTGGATGACGTGACTGCAACATCCCCCCACGACACAAAACTAACGTTAACGACCGGCTAGCTAATGTAGCTGCGATTAGTGTCAACCTAAAATTTGTAGTCACGCATGGGTCAATAAAGCTAGAACTGGTCATTGAATACCACAAAGTTTGTTAACCAGTTACTCCTCCTGGTCGTCCTTTAGAGCGAATAGTCGCCTTACGATAAGTCAACTCCATTAGTACAATGAATGAGAGCTGCTAGCCGCTAGCTGCTGGCTAATCGGGGGAGGGGAGGTCATTCATTCAGTTGGCTAGCAAGCAGTCAAACGACTGTTAAGGGTGGATATCGACCGGTAATGAGAATGTTAGTGTTTACATAGCCTTAAGGTTTGCCTACATACCTGCAGGTGCTCTTGGAAGCGGATAGGTAAGATTTGAGCCATGGTGGTTTCCTCGAGCTTCTTCGGAGTCCTCAAAATCTAGCTGTACAGCCAGCTAGGCAGTAGCACCGCGCTAGCTAACGTTACGTCCTCCTCACTGTACGTCTAGGTCGGAGCCGGTTAGTAAAAACGAAAAGCACGATCAGTAAGCACTATGCTGCACTATTAACCGTGTTTCCGAAAGCTGGTACCAGTAAAAATGTTCAAATACGTCCCTCTTTTATGTGCGTTTGGTGATGTGCACCGATAGATAGCAGCGGCCGATCTTCTGTCCAAAATCCGCAATGGCGGCGGAAACGGCTCAGAGCCTTCCCACTCCGGAAGCATCTAGGGAGCTCTGGAAGGAAATTGGCTCTGGTCCTGTATTTAGTATGGTTTGATGGATGTTAATTTTTTTTTTTTTAATTTAGGCAAGATAATACACATGTCGTGTTCCTACTCTAATCGGTTTCACAGGTTGTAATCTGAGTAAACCAACTCAGCATACCAGTTTACACCAGTTCCACAAATCAAAAAACTACATATTTTACATTCCCGATAAGCTTTAGCCCAAATTGTAATTATTAACTCTTCAGCATATTCGTTGTAAAATACAAACGGCCAAAATTCAGTAAAACCATACCATTAAACTCTCTTAACTTGATGGTGATATAGTCAACATGCACATCCTTACTGTCTTGAAACTAGAATTGTCTGTAATTAACCACATAGCTGGAATTTCCCATCTAATGTGGCAAAGATATGTGTTTTTGTTAACCCAGACATTTATTAAACAGGTGAATTTGGATTTCAGCAAAAGATGACTCGAGACAAAGTAATGCATTTCAAGAAGCAGCTGTATTCGACTATAAAGGATTTTCCAGTGTCTCTAAGCTGTTTTCTTTATATTTCAGTGTAAAAAGCCTAGACTCTATTAGAAAAAAAGCAACAGTAAACCCAAAATAACATGTCATAAGAAAACAATTGAAAAAAAATCCCCATTCACCAGTTATTTTAATTAAAATAGAAACCATTTCATTTTGCTAACATTGCCCTCTAAACAAATATATATTTTAATCATATATATATATATTTATATATTTATTCTCAAGGCAGTTGGTCATGGAGAAATTAATTGACCTCATTGTGGCCATTTTTCATGTTTCAAAACATATCTAGAATAGAAGAAAAACTGGCAGCACAGTGTAGGACCACTGCAATGGCCAACAAATAATTTATCCATTTTGAGTGAGAGGGAATAGTTTGTCAAGGCAGTGTGGCACACAGACATACTTCCTCTAATACAAGTGCAATGCAAAGTTAAATTTCTTACATCATAAAACTACAACACACTCCTCTTTCACAGCACTCAGGTTGTCCATCGAATTCCCTTTGCTTGTCTCCTCTTCCTCCAACGACCATCTTGCAGCAGAGAAGGCCTGTGTTGTGTTGTCTTAGTTCTTAGCCATTGCCAGCAACTGAAAGTCCACTTGATGAAGAGACACTGCAGTAGTCAGGGAGCTGGGGTGTCTGATTCATCCTCAGTTCATGTTGTTTTTTTCCCCAGGATGTCTGAGCTGAACTACATGTAGCAGTGTTTGAGGTTGGACAAGTGAGCACTGTTAAAGAAAGAAAAAGGATCCCAGCATGCCAGCATCTTGCCAATACAGTAAAAATGTGACTAATGCAATGTCCCGGAAGACTGCCCAGTAATTGCTGCATCAGACAGCAGAAGGGAGTAGACAAGTAACAGGGTTTCTACAGAAAAGAGGGATATGATGAGAGTATATTATGAAGAATTGGAAGGGAACCTGTGGCTGTAGCTATGTGCTCTGAGTTGGTCGATATAAACAGAACACACCGAGGACACGAGGAAACAGGATGAATGAACAAGGTGGGATCAATGTTACTGTGTGATCATCTGACGTGAGACGGTTCCCTGGGTTACCATTTACATGAAGTGTGATCACACATGATTCCCTGGGTTACCATTTACATGAAGTGAATATGCATGTTGTGCACATAAGCAATTATCCTCACATGTGTTTGTGTAAGAGAAAGAAAACAAAAAATGTGTAGGAGAAAAAAAATCCCTGGGCTACATGGGAGGGCACAGCAGAGGAGGGATCCCAGCGGACCTCAATCACCTCCGTCTGTCACACCCCTCCGTTACACCTGACACTCAGCACAACTATGTGCTTCTCTTTTGCAGCTCCTGAATAAAGGCTGTGAAAGGGGAAAGCAGAAACAAGCGTTAAGTACCCTGAATTCTGTATGCTGAATCAAAATGAATTTTTCAAAAAACATTTTTAGAGTACTGAGTAATTTCACCTCCAATAATTTCCTCCTTAACTTTTTGTAGCTCTTTCCGCACCTCCTCCAGGATCTCCTGCAGAAAAATTGATTGACAGACTGTCAGTCATAGTGTTTAAATAGCTTAACCCTCAGCGTGTTTACAGTTTACCAGGTTACTCAGTTTTTGCAGGTAATCGAAGAACATGTTTACATGTGCCATATTAACCTGGTAAATGTAAATCTGTGAACACATGAAGCAGGTGGGTAATCAGATATCTCCCCTACCCCCAACCTTATTTTGGGAGCATGACTTTATTTTAAACTATAAAGTCATAAAAGACAAAGTGTTGGTCCTGACTTTTTTCTGGTGTGTGCATGCATGTAATCTCACTCATTCAGGCTCCGCTGGACTGATGACAAACATACCTGTTTCATTTTCTCTAAATCTGAGTCATCTGTTCCACCAGCATCATTACTGTTGCCTGCAGGCTTCACCCTGTAAGAAAATATAAACAGACAAAGACAGGCAAATATTTTATTTATTTCTGAGTTTCACCAAAAACAAAAAAAAAAAAAAGACAAGGCGGCCCACTGTGCTGCAGTGACAGGCCAGCTGTGAATCACGCTCACCACTGAATTACCAGAGATGATGGAATAGAGAACAAACATATGCACACCCAGAGATGAAATTAAAGTTAACCTAACCTCATTAACAGCTATTCCTAAATTATTTTCTGCAGATACAAATGGAAATAAATCCAGTAGGTGCTATTTGGAAAACAATTTGTCTCTGTAAACATGCACTGTATATGTACTGTATGGAGTTTATCCACCTTTTAACCACTACAGTGTCACACATATAATAATAAAAAGTAAAACAATATGTGTATTGTTTATATTAATAATGCCTTGTCTGTTACTTTTCTTCTTAACACTGAGTGCTTGTTTCGATCCCTTTGCTGCTGTAGCTTTGTGAAATTCCCTGTTCATCTTATCTTACATGCCTGAACTATAGTGCAAAGATAAGACAAGACAAGCCAAACCATCAGAAAGTTCACCAAGAGGACACCACTGATCCCAGCACCCAGAACTGACATTAATCACACTGCAGGCTTCATATTCAGAGACAACGCACTCAGCTGGTAGACCTGCAAGTCCCTTGGGTGCATGCCATTCTCTGAACCATTAGATGGTGCTAGCAACTGTAAAATGTGCTACCCCAGTACATAGTGGCATTGTGCTAACCTGAAGAGAAAACAATGAAGGGAGCTAAGGCCCCTCAGTGAAGGGGACAGCATGTATACCTGAAACCTTGGGACAATGAGGGAGTGGAGTCCATGTTCTTGGTGACGGAGTTATTCCTGTTAGTGAGACACACACACTCTCCTCTTATAATGGAACTGAATGACACTCACACACAAAAGAACAAGCAAACATACTGTAGATGTGCATATATTCACACAACCACACTCACAATGATGGAGAACTACTGTTGGGATGAGTTCAAACATGAGACACCAAACACCTGGGGGTGTTACAGATTTACTGAAATATGTGAATTGAGGATTACCTGTTCATTGATGGTTTCTCCCAAGGTCTTCTCATGGTATCTACAACGGGGAAATGTATAAAAAAAAATGAGTTGTTAATATTCATTTTGTGTATTATGTGAAAAATGAATATCAATAAAATGTAGCTGGCATGCTGCAGATTTAAATGTTTTGTTCTTACCGCCTTGACCTTGAGGCTCTGACTCATCCTGTATCAAGAAGACCAAGAGCTTCTGTTAAGTTAGTCATTCTCAACTATCCATCACTCAGTATTTGGTCACATACAGTATATAACACTATTTGTCTGTTTGTTTATTCTTTTTTAACATAATGTAACAAAAAAAAATCCTTACATTATCTTGTGGTTTCACGGGTGGCTTTTCTCCATTGTTTGCAGCTTTTCTCCTAATACAAAAAGATTCACTTTAAGTTACAAAAATGAAGGTAAAAACTAATTAATATTAATATAAAAAAATGAAACATTAACGCTAATTGTCAGGGTTTTTGGGTATTCTACATTCTATGTAGCTGGTGTCACCTACCTTCGTGCCAGGATGGCGCTCATCTCACCCATAAGACCACCACCCCCTCCTCCTCCTCCAATAGAGGAAGTGCTGGTACGGCTGGGGTCAGCTCTACCAATTGGAGCTGCGGGAGCTGCAGGGGCTGCATCCTCCTGCTATGAGTAGCAAATAGCAAAAAGATGCAGATGAGTCAAAGCAGACATTGTGTAGGCATGATGACTCAAACACTGAGTGAAGCAGTGACCATAGCTCTACAAGTAGTAAACACTCTGATCAATACAGCAGCAGAATAGCATTTGCAGATTTAGAAAAACTCAGTGGATTTGCTGGTTATCCATTATGTCACTCCTCACTTCAGAAGGAGCCACAAAATAATGGTGTAGTCAGAAGTCTATAAAATTGTTTCGTTAGATTCTCACCTTAGACACTTTACGCAGTTTAGCTCCTGCTAGGGCAGCAGCCAATCCCGCACCTCCTCCCCCTCCCCCGGCACCCATACCATCACCTCCTCCTGCAGCAGGCAGGGGTGGAGCTGGTGGAGGTCCTGAGGGAGGTGGACCCGGAGGTGGAGGGATGCCAGAGGCTGGGGGAGGGGCAGGGGGTGGAGGAGGGGCTGGTGGAGGAGGGCCAATGGTGGAGCTGGAGGAGCAGGGACTAAAAACAAAGAGGGGTCCATCCATGACAAAGAATTTAGAGATGTGAAGACATGCACTAATACATCTCTTTTTGTTATTTTGTTGCTGATGCACTTCAGCTTACATGTACATTTTCTCTATTTACATCAGAGCACAGCTATTATTGCACACGTATCAAAATTGATATCATACAGATTTTATTAGCCACTGATTAGGGCTGGTAAGATCACTGTTATTGACAGTGTGTCGAGGCCTTAAGAACCACCTCAATGAGATATGAGGAACTACTAAGACTAGACTGCTATATATTTAAAGCGCAGTAATGTCGACCAGCCCAGGTGTTTCCTGACCTGCAGCGGCTTGTCTTTCTCTCTCGA